ACTGTGTTAAGTTAACCCGTGCTAATCGTCTATACAAAAACTCTATAAAACTAGAAAGTAAATATAAAAACTAGAAAGTAATAATGTGGTGATTTCATTGAAGTCCAATTCAATTCTCAGCAGTGACAATAGTTGTTTGTGTGACCTTCTGTGATTTGTCATACAAAATGAATGCTGACAGATACTTAGACATAGAAGGGACAAAGTTCAAGGCATTGAAAATAAATTACATGTTTTAGCCACATGCTTACCACACAATTGTTTCTGACAGCTCCTGTCCTTGTCAGTTTTCTCAGAACTTTCCAGACAAACCATATTTTCCAACATGTGTTCAATAAAGCTCTATCATTTACTTTTTATTTTTTATTTTCATCTGTTCCATAATGCATGTCTTGATCCATTAGACTTTGTAAGTCCACATGGGGACACTGCTCCATATACAACAGAAGACTACCTGCTGGTTACTCATACAGAAGACTATACCTACAACTAGATGAAGGCAGCCTGACATTCAATGCCAACCCACAGGAGGTAACACATACTTGAGTGTGTGTGTAACAATGACAGTGTTTTATTCATTCATATTATTATTTTTTGTATCTGTTGTGTCACTAACCTGTTAGTTTAAGATAAATATCTATACTAAGAAGGTGTGTGTGTGTGTGTGTGTGTGTGTGTGTGTGTGTGTGCGTGTGCGTGTGCGTGCGTGTGTAGGGTATCAGTTATTTTATGTCCAAAGGTATACTACTTGACCATCCAACCGAGCTGGCTAAGTTCATCTTCTACACCAGACGGCTCAACTGGAAGATGCTAAGAATTTATCTGGATGAGAGGTGGAAACATGCACACACAGGCCAATTGTTATAATAAGTAACCTAAAGAAGTGTTAGTGTATCTGCCATGACATTAAAGATACATTTATTAGTGCCATTTTCTAAACAAAATTAAAAATTGTGACTCAATCTTTCCATTAAGAATAATTTGTGTGTATGTGCAGGCGGGACGTCCTGGATGAGTTGGTGACCCTCCATAATTTCAGTAACCAGTTCCTCCCCAATGCTCTGCGGGATTTCTTCAGACACATCCATGCACCAGAGGAAAGAGGAGAATATCTGGAAACCCTCATCACGAAGTTCAGCCACAGATTTTGTACCTGTAATCCAGTTCTTGTCCGAGAACTGGGCCTCAACCCTGGTTAGTACTTTAACACAGAGTACATACAGTACTAAAAACACAGTCAATATTATTAAACATCTTTGTAGTTGTTGTGAGCCTAATGAAACACTTATCCAGTAGGTCTAACTATCTACCTTTTGATGATCAACATCCCATTATGACGACACACACAGAGAGAATAGTTGAAACGGAAGCACATCATTCATATAGAAAAAAGGAAGAGACAAGACCAAAACCCTACACATAAATGAACAGAGATACATGAACATAAATGACATTCACAGCAAAACCAAATGTGTTATCTTAAGAACGCCTCTAGGGAATTCTGTCTGATTTGGCACAAATGTTCACTTAGACTCACAGACAAACTGACTAGATTTGGGTCGGGAGTTTAATTTCAAATTGTCATGAGAGCCGTTTTCAGACATAAACTCAGAAGGATGTCCGCAGTCTTTATCCAGAGGTTGCCTTTCACACACGATCAACACAGCGGGAGATTCTCAGCTCAGATGTGTTCACAACAACTCAGAAATCTCTGGAGCACTCGGGTGAGACGGAGGACTTAACTTGTATTTTGTTTTCCTCCTCCACTCTGACCTGCTCTCACTTTAATAAACAGGTATCAGGACCTGATCAGTACATGAAGTAACTCAGTGTTTGTTTGATTCACTCCAGAGTTTGAGACTCATTTAAACTGAAAAATGACTTGTCAACATTTTGTGCTCAGTGCAACACGAGACGTGACATGAGCAGCAGGACTCAGTGTTAAAGTGACAGAGCGACGTGGATTCATGATCCAACGTAAACAATTTCATTTTTGGAACCGTGAACTTAGTTCCAATTTTTCAAAAATGATCTATGAACGTGAACTAGTTCATTTTCATCTGGATGAACTGAACTTTGAACTAGTTCTTTTAAATGTGAACTGGCACAACACTGTTCTTAGATTTCTTCTTCATGTATGACACAACCTTTTCATCTTGAGATGTTTTTTAGTTTTTTTCCTGAAGTATCTCAGTTCAGTGCATATCTGAATGCAGTTTAATGGTGCAGTGTGTAGAATTTAGTGATATTTAGTGGTGAAGTTACATGTTGCTGCTGAAAACCCTTCACCTCACCCTCCCCTTCCAAACATGAAAGAGAACCTGTGGTATTCTTCAGTTGTCATGAAAACTCAAAAGGTGTTTAGTTTGTCCAGTCTAGACTAAAAAACATGGCGGCTTCCGTAGAGAGGACCCCCCAATGTAAATATAAAGTATTTAAATATAAAGATTCTTTTAGGGTAAAGAAAACAACAATAAATACAATTTTGATGAAACACACTAGTGAAAATATCATGAGGATTATTTTATATTCAATTTGTGCCAATAGATCCTTTTCACCTAAATCTTACACTCTGGACCTTTAAGTAGTCACCTCATATGAGTCTGAGAAAAAGTGTATGCTTCTCAGCCCTGCAATAAAACAGCAGGGCAGTAATTTTAGTTTGAAAATTATTTGTATCCGCATTATTGTTTCCAGGTTGGTTTTTGTAGAGGCCTCTGTCCACAGGGAAACGCCTGAACAAGAAAACATGTACCTTTTTCTTTTCTTACCTTCTTTCCATTTATAAACAGCAAAATGGCAGATTTTAGAAAACATCTGGGCAGACAGTCCATCTTATTTCACTGTGGGGATGTTATGAGCCAGCAAAATAATGAACAGCTCCATGATCAGCTGTATCAACACTTACAATGCATGATTATAGGAAAAGTGTGTAACTTTAACGTTCCTATCCTACAATTCTTGCTTTTCATCAGCCAAAATACACTTAGACACAGGATATATATGCAATGAGCAAAAATTATCCTACTGTTTACAACTCTGTGCACAATTTGTATAAAGTGACAGTTCGACCTGAGGGTGGTGCTAGAGGAATGCTGTTAAAGTTTTGTCTTTATCTTCTGGACAACAAACACATTCAGTCAATTTTAAGACAGTGTGGTTAGATTTTATTAAATCTGGTGTGATCTTTAAAAGTTTGGCTAGATCGTGATTGCTTCTTTTAGGGGATCATGTCCTCTTTGGAATATTAATATGCAATTCATCCTGACCTTAACCAATAATCACCATTCTTAAACCCTGCAGCTTGAAGACCAGTAGGTGTTGTGACGATAGAAGGGTTTTAAAGTTACTACACTTCAAATCCATTTACCCAACCACAGAAAGAGGGAAACCATCAAGGTTTTATTTTCCAAGTAATCCTGGGCTTCAGTATTGTCAATGGACCATCCATTTATCAACTGAGGGCTTTGCCAGTGTCAGCAGACCATAAAGAAACAATCTCTAACTCTGTTGCTCTTCAGTCTAGAACCTACTTCCACAATTAGTAGCACTGGTAGGATTAAAGTAATTGTTCCAGGCCCAGGGCTACAGATCATTTTACTGTTACTCTGCCTCTCCATAGTAGCATTATACACATCTGTCTGTTTAATTTAACATATTTTAGGTTTACGTTTTAATCAGAAATTCTAAATGCTAATTCTTTACTGCCCATTTTCTTTAATATGTTCAGTAATATATTGGTTCAAAGAGGCTCCAGGCATTGTCCTGTAGTGTTAACATCCCTGCACATTAGACTCTTTACTTGTTCTCCTTAGTGCCACATATAGCTTAGCTTTTTTAAAAGCTCTTGGGAAACAATGACAGCTCCATTAAATCACTGTATGCTGTCATTTGAATTTGGAATTTCCCTCCGGGGATTAATAAAGTATTTCTGATTCTGATCTCTCTGCAGATGCTGTCTATGTGCTGTGCTACAGTCTGATCCTGCTGTCCATCGACCTGACCAGCCCCCATGTCAAAAACAAAATGTCTAAGAGGGAGTTTATCAGGAACACTCGCCGAGCAGCACATAATGTCTCCGATGACTTTGTTGGCCACCTCTATGACAATATATATCTGATTGGACATGTGGCTGCATAGCTGCACCTACCAGCGGCCCAGTATAAATCCTCATACTGCACTGAAGAACAGGACGTGGTGATTAGGACCCTATACATGTCTGGAAAGTATGGAACACTGTGGAACTGGATTGTTCATGTCCTTTAAAGAATGTAACAACAAATAAATCTTATTTAAATATTAGTCAAACAAAGAAAATCCACTGCTCCACTGTGAGACTATGACTTTGCTACCAAATATTAGTGATGTTATTAAAGTAAAATCATCTGAATGTCTTTAAAAATGAAGATTGAGGACAAACTGTGATACTGCACTGACAGATGGGGACTAACGATTGGTGGAGAGTCTAAGAGGAAGGGGAGAACTTCCCCTCTGCCGGGCACATATGCTAGAGGAGTCGTGCTGATTTCCAATTGGACAGGAGTAGTTTCTTGTTCACTGGTAGGATAAAGACTGGTCCACCTATTCTTGTGGGAAGTGAAAAAAAGGACCCGGGCTAGTACCAGGTCAGTTACTAGTATAGTATTTACCAGTGCAACTTCTCACAAAGTGTGACTGCTCATAACCAGGATTTCCATGTGTCAAGCTTCAACTAGAACATTTTTGTATTTTCATCCTACATCTCATACTTTTTGCTTGTGTTTTCCAAGTATGCCATGCTCTCATACTCTGATGAGTGTCACAAATTCATAAGGAGTTGCATGCATTGGAAATCTGACCACTTGTGGACAGGCTGCATCCATAAAAAAAAGAATGAAGAGAAGACTTTCTAGCTCTGCTGTTAGAAACGAACAAACCAAAGATTTGCAGAGGCAGCAGTGGTGTTTGCAGACTCCAAAGCATGACAAATTAGATGTTATCAAAGCACAGCTCTACTGTGAGACAAAAGCAGAGGGAATTATTAAACATGAAGTGAGTTAATGAATAAGTAAAGCAGACCATGACTATTATGAGAGGCCAAACTGTACAAGTCCCTGTGACAGAAATATAAATTGTATGACTCCGTTTACACCTGTTCCAGATATGATTTAACCCGATTACATTTACAAGTCAGATAATTTGGTTTGTGCAGGTCCAAAAAACAACTAAAGAAGAAGATGATTGCACTCAATTAAGCTGTCATTGTATTTTCCTGCTTTTCGTTTGGTCTTGTCTGTACTCCACTCATGGGTGTCTTGGAGGACTCATGAGCATACTGCTTTATGTGACTACTTGCTAATGTTTGGTGATTTGGAACAGTCTCATATGGTGATTATTCCAACCCCTGTAGTTAGACTGATTTACACCCCTGTTTAATGTGGTCACAATCCAACCCTGACCACCTCCTGAGGTTTGACTGATCACAGTCAAGCTCTATCTGACTGCAATCCGATCACCCAAAACACATTTTAATACCAGGTTTCAAATGGACCTTCAACACCTCAGTAATCTGGCAAGCCATGATGGTAAAATGGTAAATGGAGAAACTAACTTTGCATCACATGTTTTAGTTGTGTATTTAGTAATATTTAAATTTGGTATTATATTAATGC